AGCTTCTGAGATAAGAAAGTTCTTACAGTTCTTTCTTCTCAACAATCTTTTCATTCTCTATTTATAGAATGACTTCTTCTTATTTTCACTCTTCAGCATATCTGTAAGAGTTAAGAAGATTCTTATAAATACAAAGATAAACTATCTATAGAAATTCACAAAGCTCAGAAAGATCTGAATCTCATGAATACTAGTTTGCTTCAGTTATGATAGAATAGTCTTGATCTGTAAAGATTTCATCTGAATATCATCTGCAGTGATTATATATTCTAGGAAATTAATTCAGTGAGCACTGAAGTTGTACTTTATAAGCTTAATATACAGTTCTGTCTCATCTAAGACCTTCAACACACTTCATACATACTCAGTGTGTTCTTTCTTCTTTATGAAATACACTATCACATCATTCAGATATATTATCATGAAGACATTTAAATATACACAAAGTGTTTTATTAATGAAAGACTGAAATGCTGCAGAAATATTAGTCAGATCAAAAGATATTACTAGATATTCAAACAATCTCAGTGCAGTTCTAAAGATAGTCTTTCATTCATTCTCAGACTGTATTCACAGCTGTGTATATATATTGATTATATTCAGTTGTGTGAATATAACAGCTTCTGTGAGATAATTGATTACATTCTCAATCAGAGACAGAGAGTAGCAGCTCTTTATTATCTTGAAGTTCAGATTATAATAGTCTATACATAATCTGAGATCTTTATTCTTTTTCTTCATAAATATCACAGAGGCTTCTGTGAAGATCTATAAAGATTGAATGAAGTCATTCTTCAGATTCTTCTCTATATAGGTCTGTAAGACCTCTGTCTTATAATGAGAGAGCTTATAGATTAATTCTCAGAAGAGTTTCTACTCTTCTATCAAATCTATTATCAGATTCTTCTCATAGTGAGAAGAAAGCTCAGCTGTCTTTGTGTAAGAAATCCCGCTTCTTGCGGATTCTTTACTTCTATTCCTATCTCTCACGTAATCAATAGAGCTAGCGGCCCTTGGCTACACACAACTATATAGACTGGAGTTCACAAATACTATTCATAACTCAGCTTGAATGCTATCATACATTGACCTTTACATTTTATCTTTCTACTGTGAATACTTCTAGTAGTTAACAGTATATATCATGCCTAGACTGACCGTGTGACCGTGTCTAGGACCAGGACCAGATTTTTTGATAGTTTCATTACCAATTCGACTGATCCCATTACACGGTTTTAACATTAGATAGTAGTTTCATACTGTCCCAGTGAGACTTACTGTCTACTCTTGTCACATTTTCCAAATGAGACCATGATTTCCACTTCTCAATTTAAATTATTTTTATTGCTTTAAATGACTTTAAATCTCATTTGAGCATTACCAAAAAGTGTTACTTTTTAAAAAATTAAAAATAGTCTAAAAAAAACCTTAAAATGTCTAAAAATAGTAACTTTATGCCAAGAATGGGACTAAATGGGACCAAATGGGACCACTTTCTCATTTTTTTCAAGTCATGGTTTCATTTTAAGATCTGATATATAGTCACTTTACCTGTTTTTTTGATAGCCAGTCCCAGCGGGATTCACGCCAAGAAATGTATGAGACCAGACCAAATGGGATCAAATGTGAAATTCATGGTCTCAGCGGCCAGTCTAATCATGCCAAGCTGCAAACATCTGAATAATCACCTGTGAGCACTTATTCTTACATTTCAAGCTGAGTCAGTCAGCAACTGCCTGTTATGACTAGACTGGCCGCCGGGACCATGAATTTCACATTTGGTCCCATTTGGTCTGGTCTCATACATTTCTTGACGTGAGTCCCACCAGGATCAAGCCTCAAAAAAATCTGAAAATGGACCATTTCTGAGAGAAATGGTGTGAAAAATGACCAGATTTAATTCAAGAACAGTGAAATGAGAGTAATTTTCCAGGATAAACTGTGAAAGATGATCATTCTTTCAAAATCAGAATGAGACTGAGACTGAAGATTAAAATCAGTCTCATTCAGTTCATTCAGTGATTGCTTATATAATCAGAATTTGATAATGATTATTGACAACACTCATGAAACAACTAAATACATTCTTGTACAAGTTTATTCTTCACTTTCTTATGAAAACTACACTTCTCTGATATACTGTGATCAGAGATATTAAACTGTCTGATCATTTCATGTTTTATAATCATGAGTTTCTTAATTGTTTCTTCTTGTAATTGTTCTCAGTGATAGTGATAAATATCTTGACTTGAGTTGAACTTTCACTTCATTCTCATCTCTGTCAATGAAATTGTCACAATATTACATGTCATCAGTGCAACAGTTGAATATGTACTCTCAATAATTTTTTATAACTCTAGAATTGATTTGATGTGTAAATTTGTCAGATTATCTTGAAGATAGCAGTTAAATTCAGTTTTATAAGCATGTAGTTTTGCCTGATTTTCAGTTGTAATCAATGTATGCAAGTTCTGTTTCAAAGTTAGTATTATAGTTCTATGTGATATGAAGTGTTATCAAAGATTATTACTTACTAGGAAATTATATTTCACTGTCTTCACATCTTAAATATCTGCACATTTAAATCTCTGATAGTTGACATTGTAGTAGTCTCAGACTAATTTAACATATGAGTCTTATTTCTTCTCTGTTCAATCTTGAGAAGTGTAGATATTAACTCAATAGAAGAGATCTAGTAGAGCTGCTATAGCATAGTACTCTGTAAAAGATTGTTCTATTTTACTGTAGTAATATACCAGTTTATTCCTTGCAGTAACAATAGCCTGTACTATAGTATTATCACAGACTGAATTTCTTTTTAAGTGATTCAACTGCTTCTCAAGATGAGTAAATAAACTGTTATACACTTATCAGACTGACTGCAGCATTGATGTATAAGTGATTGAGACTGTCTTTATTATCTTATAAAACTGAAACAGTAAACTAATCACATATTTCAACTGAGTTCACTTCATATCAGAAAGTTTCAATATCTAAATCTTTTCTCAATCAGAGTGTTATACTCAATGATTAATCATCTGACACAATCAAAGAGTCTGAACAGTTATTTTATATGTTAAACTTCATCATATTCTAACATTCTGTATCATATTCAGTGATGTGACTGATTTGTTTATTTATTGAATATCATGAAATCATTGTTATTATTTAGAAGAGATACAAATCACATTAGCAATGTTTTGAATCTATGATATTTAAATTATTAGTCAATCTATTCAAAATTAACAGTAGCATTATCAAAAAGTATTATTAAAAAGCAATATTAAAAAGTATTATCAAAAAACATTATCTTTTACAAAGTGAATGTAAAAGTTACTTGAGTAATCACTTTCATCTCATTCTCATCCCAAGAATCAGTCATCTCATTATTCTTTATCTTGATATTAAGATTCTTTATCAGTGTTTACATTACAAGTTAAATCACATGAGCAATGCAGAGAATATGACCTTATTTATTATTTCAGAAATACAAAGTTAATTTTTGCTTTAAGCTCTTCATCATAGTGTAGTTATTCACAGCATTATCAGTTGTAATTGTAAGAAGACTGAGACTAATATCTCAATAGTCATTTTTAATCACATTCATTAATATCTCTATTATATAATTCTCAGTATAACTACTGATCAATCATTCAAATTCAATTAATGTCTCTTAATAAGTTCAGTTCTCATTAATGTAATAACATGTAACTCTCATAAATGTAAGATTGTTTATACTAGTTCATGCATTCACTGTGAGAGACACTCTTCAATGATTCTTCAACTCTGATTCTAGATATTGTATATTGACTTTGTAGTGTATCTCAAGATTGAACTGAAGACAGAATTGATGTAGAATATGAAGATTTGAATTAAGTATTTGAAGAAGTGTTCAGAATTTATGATTTTCAATTAATTGAAGAAAAAGATTCAGAGATATATACATACAAAGTAATTATTTATGAAAGTTATCAGATAAGAGTTGTGAAATCAGAGTACTGATACAGAGTTGTTTTCACATGATTTTCATCAAATTAGAAAGTTAGTATTATTAAAAATTGTTATCTGATAGAGCAACTTATCAGCTCAGTAGTAATTTTCTGATTATTTTTCTTTTATTATCTGCATTCTGATAACTTCAGATATCAGAAAATTCCTTCAGAGTTATAATCAGTTTATGATGAATGTTTCTGAATAAAGTTACAGTAATTACAGCAGAGAGATGACTCTTCAGTAATCTATAATACAATCTATTGATAATTATTTCATAGTTCATCTCAATATTTATGTTGAGTTTTTCATAAATTTCATGACCTGGAATCAGATGTGAAGAATAAAGTGATTATTCATTATAATTGAAAGAGAGTATTCTGTGTTGAATTGTAAATAATATAGACTTTATGATTCACAGTGATTTCTTAAAGAGTTTGTGAATCTTCAATAGAAGTAAAAGAAGTGAAAGAAGTGAATTCAGAAGATATAATAATAATTTAAGAAAGATGATAATTTATTTTCAATAACTAATCACTGATATGTGTAAGAAGAATTAATATAAGAGAAAATAATCTTGTTTCTTAGCTTAGTTATAATTTTAGTACTAACTCAGATTGAATATCATTAATATATAAAAGTAAATAAACAATCTTGATTAATCTCTGTCATATTTCTTGAAATATATTAATATTATGAAAGAGAGTATTACTAAATTACATTATCAGATAATATCATTAAAAATATATTAATATTGTAAATATCAATGTTGAAAAAATGTTGATACTTATACATTATAGTGATTTGTGAATCATGATAGTTAAATATATATATATATATATATATTGTTCCTGACTTGATTACAACTTGTATAATAATTTTTAAAAACTCAAAATTAATTTCAATTATTAATAATTATGAACTTATAACTAACTAATATAAAAAGAAAAAAACTTTTTCTACTTATTATCTTTCTTCTCTTTCTCATTCTTCTTATTATTCTTTATAATTTACTTCTTTTTCTTCTTCTTCTTCTTCTTCTTCTTATCTGAGATGATAATCATCTTAAAATCTCTCTTCACTATCTTCTCAGAGAAGGGTTTCTGCTGCTCTCTCTTAGCCAGGTCAATCTGTATCTCAAAATCCTGCATTTTCTGATCTGCTGTCTCAGGTTTCATCTCAGCAGTAAGCAGATTAACATGCTCAGAGAGTAGAGCTGTCTTCTCAATATTCTGAATCATGAAGTGCATTCAAGATCTGAACAAGGTCTTAATTCTCTTCTTCTCTGTCAGCTCCTGCTAATCAATTAGAGAACAGAAGTATTATCAAAAATCATTATCTCTTAATAAATAAAAAACTTATCAGTTTTGACTTCTTTATCTCTTACTTCAATACTCTCTCAATCTTCTTCTGTCATTACTTATTTACAGTAACACTCTTCTTCTCTCTCTCTCTCTTTATCTTGATCTTAAATCATTCTCAGAACTTCTTCTGATCTTATCACTACTGTATGAGACTCTTCACTGTCTTCTTCTTTAATCTCTCACAGGTGATGTCATTCACATTATTTCTATACTTAGTTCAGTCTAAATCTATCAGAAGTGTTACTTAAAATTGTTATTATTCTACTTTCTTACAGAGTCTCTTCAAAGTATTATAACATGTCTTATGATCTGTCTTCTCTTACTTGAATATCTTCTTCTTCTCTTTCTTCAATCTGTGACAGCACTCACATGCCTTGATGGTCTGCAGAACTGCAGAATATTTAAAGAGAAATAATATGATTAATTTCAGTGAGTGTTGAAGAAGAGTGAAGACAGAAGAGGCAGTCAGAAATAATATAATAATAATAATAATAATGATGATGATGATGATGATGATAATGATAGTGATGATAATGATAATGATGATGATAATAATAATGATAAAAGAGAGAGTGCATTGAAATATATTACTGACTTATCAAATATAAAGAGACTTAAAGAAAATATTAACAGCTTTCAGTGATGTACAGAAACAGCTACAGTGTTGCATAGCAATATCATCTTCATTCAATACATGCACTGTTAATATTCTTTGTATACAGTTATCATATAATCTGTATCAGAGATATATACAGAAAACAGATCTTTATTGCTAGAACAAATGATTGCAGTAATTCTCTGTTTTTATATTATAAAGATAAGTTATTCTTATTTCTTTCTTCTCTCTTTTCTCTTCTTCAATCAATCACTAATTTCAAGCTGATATGAAAACTATTAAAACACTCTCAGAAATTCTTAAATTGAAGAGTATAGACTAATTAAATTTTAAATGCAGAAGAAATCAAATTATCTTCTACAGATTCAATTACTCATCTTCTCTTAAATAAAACAGCAGTCACATCTTCTCTCTCTTCTTAATCAAATGAAATATAGCCTGTGAAAAGTGAGTATCATGCCAGATCATAATAACTAATACAGTCTCAGCACACAGGGCTGTATATACACAGTATATGCTGAACTGAGAGACTGTATAAGTTGCAAACTGGCAGCAGCATTTCAGAGAGAGCTGTGTGATATGAGAAAGTCACAACTCTCAGTTACATGTGCAGAGAGTGAATTATCACAGTAAGTATATATGTATTGAAGTAATACTTTTTAGTAACACTCAGTCTCTGATATGATGAAAATAGAGTCTCTTCATGAGATTCATTTCTATCAGAAGTCAGAAGATCTTATATTTCTCAAGATTATCTTCACATATCTTATCTGTGAAATCAATGAGAAGAATCATTGATTTCAGTGTTCTGCTCTTAATGCTATTCAAGTGACAGCAGAGTTCACTCTGACCACACTTTTTAAGTGTATATTTTCTAATTATTCACATTTATATAGATATATACTGATTATTTGTTAGATAATATTAAGACAATGACTCATCACAGTCATGTTACTCTTACTATGAGAGATACACAGTTGATAATAAACATTGTAAAGACTCTGAGAAGTGAGTATTTTAAAGATACTACAGCTCTGCAATCTTGATTTTTTTTTGTTTTTATTTTTTGTTTTTTTCTTTTTCTTTTCTTTTTTTTTTATTTTTCTTTCTCTTTCTATCTCTTTTTTTCTTTCTCTTCTTTTTTTCTTTCTTTTTTTTTTTTTTTTTTTTTTTTTTTTTGTTGTAATTTTTTCTTGTTATTTTGTTTTTTGTTTTTTTATTATTTTTTATATTTTACATTTTTTTTTAATTAAAATGATATTAATTATGATCTGTGTTTAGAAAAGTAATAATATTTAATAACACTCTCTGTTGAATTTTCAACAAATGAGCACTATATTATAATATTATGTAAGTGAGAAATAATTTCATGATTCTATTTAATATCATTTTCAATAATGAGATCAGAATGAAAATGCGACTAAGAATTCAAACTTACATTTTTTTTTTTAATTAAAATGATATTGATTATAATCTGTGTTTAGAAAAGTAATAATATTTAATAACACTCTCTATTGAATTTTCAACAAATGAGCACTATATTATAATATTATGTAAGTGAGAAATGATTTCATGATTCTATTTAATATCATTTTCAATAATGAGATCAGAATGAAAATGTGACTAAGAATTCAAACATATTCTTTATCTGAAACTAGATTTTTATTTGAAAAGTGAATCTAGAATCTTTAATATTTGAAATACCAGGATTTGAGATCAATGTGATAAATACAAATCATGACTAGAAGTAATACTTTTAGGCAATATAACAACTGTAAAGTTTAGTTCTGATCTCAGACACGGTCACACAGTCAGTCTAGTTATAACTGAAACAACTAGAAACTCATATGCTTCAACCTCTGCAAACTTTACTGCAGACACTCAGAAGCAGTCATCTGAATCATGAATAATCTCTGTGAAAGAAGTTTCAGAGAACTTATCAATCACTCACAGAACATTATTCTCTGCATCTGTGATAGAGAAACTCTCTGAACTCATGAATAAATCAATCTTAGTGAAGAACATTCTTAAGCATCTCTTATAAAATCAAGCTATTTTTCTACTGTGATTCAAAGGTTGCTTAAGCCAGCGTATGATTACAGGCGTACGCCGGCTTCTTATATATTGAATCTCATACACTAAATTAATTAGTGACTGCTATGACCCTCTTTACATTCATACACTAGTAGTTTGAAAGCAGCTGTGTTATTATCTGACAGTTGTACATTCTTCTGAATTACATTCTTTCTCATCAGATTCAGTCACACTCATGTGATCATGTTGTATACTCTAGCTTCATGTGAATTAGCTCATCACTAGTGTTTCACAATTGTGTGTTCTATTTCTGATTCAGCTAGTGTTCTGTGTACATTCTCACAAAGAAACTTTCACTATATTACATCACTTATTCACTAACTTTTCTCATTCTTCAATTATTATCTTCATTATCATCATCATTGAACATTATCATTATCTCAGATTTCTATCTCTTCTTCTGTTTAACTTCTTCTATCTGTTCATCTATCACATTGTATGTATTTCTGGCAATGGCTCTCTGTTCTCATAACAAGCATTATCATAGTACTCATATCAGGCAGTTCATTAGTAGTAAGTGTAATGTGTTGTGAAATGTGATCAGAACTTGTTTATCTTCTAACAATCATCAGAACAATGTATTATCATGAATGATATATCTTCTTCATCTTCTTGTATATCTCTGACTGTTTTCTTCAGCAGGTTTCTGATCATGTTTTCTGGCATAATTTTGCATGAACACAGATGCTGATATATTTGTTTTTATTTATATAGAATCTTCATATGTTGACAGATCTGTATCTGCTGATGATAGTGAACCTGATGTTGAATCATTGATTGAGAACTTGAAGAACATGATAATGAAGGAATTGTTCATATCATGTGTGACTGAGTCTTTCATGTCTCTTTCTGCTCTCTCTGTTTCTTTCTCTGTCACTCTCTCTCAATCTTCTACATCTGTCCCTGTGTCTAGTTCTCCCGCTTCCGCTACCTCTGTTCCCGCAATCTCTACTTCTGCTACTTCTGGTTTTGCTGTCTCTGCTTTTGTTACTAGCTCTTCTCATTTCAAGAAGATATTGTGTAGACTCAGTGAATCATCTCTCTCAGTGTATATACTCTCACTCTTCTTACTGACTCTCAGAATGATTTATTATATGAAGACTGTATACAACATGACTATCTGAAGCTTGATCACAGACACTGATTATTATGTTTATTTTAAATATTTATAATAAGAGAATTGTTCATTTGTATCAGAGAATCATCTCTCTCTTCAACAGTGTTGAGATTATAAGTCTTTTTCTTTTCATCTTTTCTTTCTGATGCTGATTTTTCTGTTCTTAGAGGAAATTGTTATGAGTTTTACTGTGTATAAAGTCATGATATTCACAGATATCAAGAAACTTTTCATGACTGTTAAATTTAATATTGCAGATATGTCTACTCTGATAAATATCTTCAGAATGATTGACCTGTATCAGTCTATTCTCTGATGTTTATCATCTGACTTTGTGATATAGATGAAGAATATCTGTGTTTTCAGAAACAGGAATATGAATATCATACTCTTTTATACCTGCAGATGTGAGGCTTGTATGTCTTGTCTGAGATGTTGTTATGAGAATGAGCTGTTCACATACTGTGTTCTGCTTTCTGCATTCTTCTGTGTCTCTCTCTCTCTTTCTGAGAAGCCTTGTATGTGTTGTAATTGCATACACAATTCTAAGGCCAGTGAGTGTTCATTTAGTAATTATTACCCCTGCTTTTGTGATTTTTGTATGCTAACAATGGTTCTTAGTTACTCTGATATCAGAGGTCATTCTCATTGAAGATGATAACATCACTGAGACTACTCTCTCTCATCTTCAAGCTTCTTCTGTCACTTTCTCTCCCTCTTCTGTGAGGAAGATTATGCATATATCAGATTGTAAGTGTTCAACTCTGAGTGACTTCTGTTATTTATTCAGTTCTGTATCTCTCTCTTTCATTTCTTCTGTCTCTGCTCTCTCTGCTCTGACTTCTGATTCTGTGAGTTCTGCACTCTTCTTCAATTTCTCTACACATACACATACACATTTCTATATTGGCATTCCAGTCAATCTTGTGATAAATGACATTAATGTTGTACACAGAGTGATAGAGAAATCAGAGACATGTGCAGTGTTGTTGCAGAAGTGACTTACAGTTCTTGAATCTCTTACAGATCTTGAGTTTTGAGATTTTCTTT